ATGTAAGTATCCTTTTGTTTTCCGATGGTCTTAGGCGACCCCTGTGAAAAGGTCGTTTGACCCCCAAAGGGGTCGCGACCCACAGGTTGAGAACCGCTGACTTAGGGCCTTGAAAGCCTTTGTAAGAACTTTGGCTTTTTCTCTGAGTGAGTTGGGAAGCATTGAAGGAGTTTGGGTAGGAGAGTGACATGATCTGACTTACAAAAAGGATCATTCTGGCTGCTGCTTTGAAAATAGGCTGGTGTGGGGTGGTAGGTAGGATGAGGGTGGTGGAGGTGGTGAGTGCCAAGGCAGGGAGACCAGATAGGATGGAGTCTTTGCAATAATGCAGGTGAGAGGATTTAGTAGCTTAGATTAAAGCAGTAGAAAAGGAAGTGGTGAGAATGGTTGGATTGTAGATGATTTATTGATACACTATACATTTTCTGCTTATTTGTTTACTGTTTTTTTAAAGTTATTTTATTCATTCATTTATTTATTACTTGAGTATCTCTGCCCTAGAGATTGGCCCAGGGATCCAGGAGGCTTCTTACAGGAAAGAAGAATGTGGATGTTCAAGAACCTGGCCAAGTCTGACATCTGATGCACTCCAGCTCTTCTGCCAGTGACTTAGAAAATATATCAATGACCTTTCCCACCATCCCTTTTACTCATTTATAGTTATTAATAATTGGCATTCATTATTTTTTTATACCCACTTTTATTGAGCCTGGTTTGTTTGAGGCCCTGTTCTAGGTGCTGGGGCTACAAGGTGATGCATGCTGTCCCCTTTTATTCATGGTGAGCTTATCAGCTACTGCTTTCCACCAGCCTATAGCTACCCAAGAAACCAGATTGCTCATGTCATTCATATCCATATAGTCTGTGCCTTGCCTGAGTCTGGCACATGGTGGGCCCTCCTCATTGGTGTGTATCAAATCCACGGGAAAGCCTGACAGGTATGAGGTCACTAGGCCCTGGAGTGGAGCAGCCCTGCGAGATGGGGCCCAGGGGACAGGTAGAAAGCAGAGGTGCAGCCAGCTTGACTTGAATTGTAAAGTTTGACTTGAGGCTAATTCTCCAGCCTACAGCAAAAAGACTGCTGCTGCAGCTGCTACTTGCTGCTGCTTTCTTCCCCTTCCCCCAGTGGGCTTTCACATTGAATTAAATAAGGTTTAGATTTGAGCATCTTTACC